CAGGTTAATGAAGGGTTTCCTTTTTCAGTTGCTTTATCATGGAAGCCAGATGCTCAGAACAATGAATCCCAACAAACTGTTGTATTCCCCAAGGGGAATCCAATGCCTAGCATCAAGGCTCTGACCTTCTATAGGTCCAGTACATTTGCAGTAGATGTTTTGAATGTTGACACAGATGATTTGCAAATAACACACAAAATTAGCACTTACACGGTGGGTATTGCTATTTTAATACCCCAATCTTATGCAATACAGCTGCAATGAATTGGGCCTGATATAAGCTCTGGTTCTAGCAACTTCTAATGGTGCCTGATTTAATTTTGCTCTACCTATTTACATGCAGATCGGCCCTTTCCAATCCAGCAAAGGTGAGAAGGCTAAACTGAAAGTGAAAGTTCGCCTCAACATCCATGGGATAGTGTCTCTTGAATCAGCAACGGTAATTTGCGTAATTTGCAATACTGTGTTCAGTCTTTTTTTTTCTTCTGAAATATCATATAATATATTTCTGATACTGTATGCTTTGCTTCGCCGCTATGCAGATGCTGGAAGAGGAGGAAGTGGAAGTTCCGGTTTCATCTACGAGTGAGGTGCCAAAGGATGCTACTAGAATGGAGACAGATGATGCACCGCAGGACCCTGCGTCTAGTGCTGGTGACCATACGCAGGAACCTAAAGGAGCTGCTGATCCTGCTGAGGGTGCTGCTGAAAACGGGGCACAAGATTCTGAGGAAAAAACTGTTCCAATGGATACTGACACAAAGGTACTGTTTTATTCTCTGTATTGTATAGGATTAGTATGCCTGGTCTTTTGCTTGCTGCATGTTTTGAAGAGCTATTTTTCTCTGCAGCTTCAAATCTGTGTTTACCCAGATTTGAACTTCAAATCTGTGTTTACCCAGATTTGAATGTGCCTATCTCAGTTTATTTTGCTTAGTTAGTACTTTGTTAGACAATTACACAATATTTCTGTAATGAGCTTGGTAGTGATCATCCTTATGGTGCTTAGTAAGTATTTTACTATGAGTATCAAAAGAAGTTTCTCCATCATTTTTTTGGTAAAGCACTTGATTTTCCCCATGAAAAAGCCTGTAATCATCCTTATGATTGTTTATTTTTGGTAATGCGGTTCTCTATTATGTTTTTGTAGTTATGGACTACAAAATTTAGTTTCGCTTATTCATGTTAATATTTTGGCAAAGCACTCGACTTATTTTTCTTGGGCAAGACAATTATGTATATGAAATAATCTTTGTACCTTTTAGGTTGAGCCATCAAAAAAGAAAGTTAAGAAAACAAATGTTCCAGTTGCCGAAATGGTGTATGGGGCGATGGGCACTGTTGAGCTAGAGAAAGCTGTTGAGAAAGAATATGAAATGGCTCTTCAGGACAGAGTGATGGAAGAAACCAAGGACAAGAAAAATTCAGTCGAGGCTTATGTTTATGACATGCGTAACAAGGTAAGTTGAATTGCATGCTCTGATGATTGTTTATGACTGAGCAGTACCTGATGTCAGCTTCTCTTGTATTCAGATTCATGAGAAGTACAATGATTTTGTCATGTTGGAGGATATAGAAGGGTTGATGGCTAAACTTCAGGAGGTTGAGGATTGGCTGTATGAAGATGGTGAGGATGAGACCAAGGGAGTCTATGTTGCAAAACTAGAAGAACTGAAAAAGGTATGCTTTCTCCGGTACATTATATGGTTTACAATTTGGTTTTGTTCTCATTTAGGTTCTAGATGATTCTTTAACTCTGTTCCTCTGCAGCTTGGTGGTCCTATCGAAATGCGCTACAAAGAGTGGACAGAAAGAGGTCCAGCTCTTGAGCAATTGGTGTACTGCATCCGCAGTTTTAGAGAGGCTGCATTGTCTGCTGACCAAAAGTTTGATCACATAGACATATCAGAGAAACAAAAGGTATGCGCTAACATGAAGTCGATGACTGGTTGATGTAGAAATGCTCACCACTCTTTGCTTTATCTGCTAAAGATGTGAAGTCCTCCCATTTTAGTGGTCAGTTATTTTTATTGTTTGGACTAGACAAATCTCCACGTGCAATCTGAAGTGCAGCTCTTAACTGATAAAAAAGCATCTCTGTCAATAGGTGTTAAAAGGCGAAGAAAGTAGTCCGTTACAAAATATAGCACACTCGACTTTTGGGTACTAGTTGCATAACTTTGACCGGCAATATATAACGAAGTGTATGGACTAGGCATACATGAATGATATCGTTGCAGTGCCTTGCAAAATACTTTTATGCCATATTATATATTTGTACTAACTACTAGTAATAATGTACGTGCAATGCACGTTTATATTAGGTAGGATATTAGTTGCACGTTATATTAGGTAAGATATATCTGTTGCACGTTAGTATTTGGTAAGATATCAATTACTTTTTCGCGGGAATGGTAGGATATTAATTACATGACGGATTTCAAGGGATAGCGTTGAGTCAAAACGGTGTTTATAACCAATGGCAGTGGTGGGTAATTAGAGCGTTAAACGTGTTTGGTGCTCAATATTGGAACGATTTGAACCGCTAGATAACATGATTTGACGGTCAAGATGGTTTGGATCTGCCCATTTGGATCTTTTTATATTGGTATAGATTTATAGACATGAGTGAAAAATGTAGTCAAAGTTGTGCACTGAAGACCATGAAAAGTCTGCCTCTATTATGCACTGTATGCATGGCACGTCAGTGTATACTGAGTTATGTTTGCTTGGAGTAGAAAAATAGTTATGTTGGGCGTGCCTATTTTCTTAATGATATATATTGTCAAATATATGGTTTCGGTGTGGTTGCAAATATGAGTGTTAGATAACTCCTGTTGGTGTTGAAATTTGTTTTAATACAAACTGATGCAAACTATATTGTTTTATTTATAAAATGCATAGTTTGTCGATCAAATGTAGTAATACATGACATTGGGGTGAAGAACAAAATATTTAGAGATGACATTGGGTTCTCTACCTTGGAAAAACTACCTACTTTTTGGGTACTGGTTTTTGTTGTTGAAAAAAGGCCTACTGGAGTAAGAAACACCCCCAGCTCGTAGTTCTGTGGCATTGCTCCACTCACATGTTCGAATATTGAGTTAGATGCACTCAGTAAGGATCTAGTTGGATTGAACATTTATCCTTGGGCACACGAGTACATGTCCACATTGTAATTGGCTTACACAAATCTGATGGCTATGCTACATCTAAGTGACGAATCAAAATGTTGGAATAGCAGCAACTTTCTATATACAAAGACTATAGAAAGATGAGACGAGTTGCTAATCCGTATTGTTTCATACAGGTCGTTAATGAGTGCTCGGCCGCAGAGACCTGGCTAATGGAGAAAAAGCAGCAGCAAGATGCTCTACCGAAGCATGCTAATCCCGTCCTACTTGTTTCTGACATAAAGAAGAAGGCTGAAGCGCTTGACAGGTAAGCTGGTGTTCTTCACAGGAAATCCCCTTTGAAAGAGCCTGTATGTATCTGACAATTGTCCCGCTACTTTGTCTTATAGGTTCTGCAAACCCATCATGACCAAACCAAGGCCAGCGCCAAAGCCCCAGACCCCGCCACCAGCAGAAACCCCATCACCCGAGGCTCATACACCGGAACAACAATCAAATGGAGCCGATGAGTCCGCTGAGCCAGCTAGCGACGGTGCTCAGGATGAGCATGCGGCTGAGCAAATGGACACTGATAAGGATGATCCTTCCCAGGTTTAAGAACTGTCGACCAGTGAGATTTTACGTCCATGATCGGTTGGGTTCTCTTGTGCTTTTTGCCTGCTAGGGCAATAGACTAGCAGGAATGGTTGTTTTCATACGTTGTGAGGATATGAGTAGAACATGGAGAGTTCTGCAGTGTTTCTAGACGTCTTTGTCCCTTCAAAAGCGGTCTTTTCTTTGACGACGTTTGGCAGATGCATGCAGGGTAAGGGCATTCGTCGAGGTTTTGGTGACCCATGGTCTCCAGTGTATTTTTTTAATGACGATGGTCCATAACGTTGTAATTTTTATCTACGGTGGCCCATAGCGATTCAGAAATTTTTGGTCACTACGGAAACAATATTATTATTAAGAGCTTTCTTCAATTCCTGCAAGCTGAATTGCCTTGTTGTGACGATGGAGGACTGCAGAATGTCCGAGCTTCTTGTGTGCTTCTGCTGACAATCTAGCTTTGGAGCCTTCCCATCACGATTTTGAGCATCTCCAACAGATGTTGCAGAAGTTCGTGTCCAACAATTGGGCACATGGCACTGGCTATGTTGAAAGGGATTGAATTGATGGAAGAACTTAGATGCATTAAGGTGATCATTGAAGCACACTCGTTTGAATTGATCCAGTCATGCAAGGGGACGATCGAAATTTGGAGCCCTTTTGCTGCTCTCTACACGAGTTAAAATCAGTCCGCCACCTCCTGCAGTCTGCGGCGACGGTGAGTACTTGCGGCAGTGCCGACAAGCTCTCACTCCTTGGGCGTCCCTGCTCCAACCCCCACAGCGCCCTTGGTCGAGCTCCACCGCCTCCCACCTTGCGCGGAGGGATGGGCTCTTTCGGCGGCGCTAGCTTCATCTCCATCCCCATCAACCGCCATCTCGGCACCGTGCGTCTTCCCTCGCCGATGCCGCCGCCCCTAGCTTCCAGGTCCCGGAGGAGAATGCGGGTGTTAAGATCTCGCGTCCTCCCCACAAAGACGGCCTTCGCTCCGGCACTGACGCTCGCTGCCCATGCATCGGCCGCTGTCGTTTCCTCTGCTCGCATCTTCATTGGCTTGCTGCTGCCGCCCCTAGTGTCGGGCCCTGTTCACACGGATCTCGCAGACGCTATTGTTGTCTTCGATGTTGGTCGTGCCGGGGCTTGTGACGGGTGAGCCGGCAGGCTAGGAGATTGTCCAATCCCGCCGCGTGCGCCAGGCTCTTCCATCACTTGCTTTCAAGCATCATCAACGCGCGCCCTCCGTTGATGTGGCTCAGGAATAGGTGTTTCCACTGCTTCGATAAAAGCCATTGGGGGATTAAGTGTAGGGATCCGGTCTGGTGCATTCGATGCTTCCGATCAAATCATCATGGGAGGAATGTATGCCAGCCAACATTGTCGCGTGCTACATGCCCCCTTTGATCACTGGCTCATGCTGCATGTCCTCCTCGATCAGTGGGTCCTGTTGTATGTCCTCAGTCGATGGCTCGTTCTTGGGCTTCAGTAGTTGTGTTTCCAATAGCGGTTGAGATCGGCAACCCCCCAATAGCCCAGGCGGATGTGGTGCTCGAGTCTTCTTTTGCGGCGCACGAGGATTTGCTGCGCTATGATCTTCAAGGCTTTACTTCTTCTCAGCTGAAGGAGGCGGTCCTACCTCCGCGGGAGGTTGTTGTTGCAATGCAAGAGTCGCTGGTGTGAGTTGGAGCTTCCTAGAGCGGGTAGAGGCTGCTCTGGGAAGGCCCCTTCCCACGTCGGCTCCCGCGCGGGTGGTGGCCACATTGATGAACATGATGCGGAGCTCTTCAGCTGTTTCTCCCCTCATGCTGGGGCAGTGGCGGAGCCAGGAATATAGTATGAGGGGGGCCAAGTGTAGTAAATCCTTGCTAGGAGGGCCAGCTCATAAGAATACACCATTTTTGCAACCATTGTATGCATATTAGGCTTAATACAACAATGTTAGGGGGGCCAGGGCCCCTGCTGGTCCCCTGTCTCCGCCACTGTGCTGGGGTCAGTTCTTCATCACTGTCAGCCTTATCCTCGGTGTCGTCTGCTGTCGAGGAAGAGGCCATCGCCATGGCCGTTGCCCCTGTGCCGCAGATCATGCCCGAGCTTCAACAACTATGTGCGAGACCTGCTTCGCCTCTATCCATGGAGCACATGGAGGTCAACTCGCCGGCGACCTCGTGTGAGGGACATGATCCACCCTTGTCATGTGAGCATCTAGAGGCGGCTGAGTCTATCGCGTCGGTGGTAATTGTGAATGATGATGTTGAGTTGGATGAACTTGGGAGGGTTGATGTTGAGCATCCGGAGGCGCCTGTGTCCATCATGTTGGTCGTAACTGTGAATTTTTGAGTTGGATGAACATGGGAGGGCTGATGTATATGTTTTGCATGTTCCCACACTTTTCAGCCGAGCATCCCAACCCCTCTTAGTAGTTCGATGATCCTATAACTCAAATACACTAAAACAAAAACTTCGAGTCATCGGAGAACCACACATTCTCCCTTTAAAGTGGGGGTCAACCATCTCCTTAAAATAATCTTGAGGGACAAATAACCCGAGGCAAACTTAGTAGTTGTTATTAGTCCCGCTAACCACATTGCCATCACACCAAAACACCATTTAGGGACAAATGCACTTTTAGCGCCCCTCATCTTCTCTCTCCGCCCTTCTTCCTGAATCTGCACAAGCTCCTCGACCCTTCTTCCTTCTGCCTCCGCTGGTGCCACTAATCAGAAGGTGTGGGAGAGGTAGCTACGCTTCTGCTATAGATAATAATGCTCGGTTTATCGTGGCCTTAAAATATTTGGCGAAGGCCCCCTAAATAATTTTATTGTGGCGTTGAGGTGAGATGATGCGGTGATACTCCCGTTCCCTTCGAGTTGCCGAGGTGGAAGACAAGGAAACATAGGAGGATCCCTACTTTTCCCGCCTCTCTCGCGATGTGCCTCATCGGATCTGAGCTTCTAGCGAGGTTATTGTCGCTCACTGGCTTGCAAGAGGATGTACGGCTCATCGGAGCATAGGAGCGACAGTGAAGATGCAAATGGTGTTTGAGCATATTATTTACGTGATGGTTTTCAAGAGGCTACGACGTCCACAAAAGGCTCTGGGTCCACTTTGACAAGTCACAAAACCCTATGGCCAAAGGGTTGCCTCTTTTATTCCTCCCGTCCATAATGCCAAATGGGAGGCAGTGCAACTTCAGTGCGGAGTTCATGGCGAGCAGTTGTGGTCGTCTTAACGGACTAAATGGTCTCGTCCCCTTTGTGATAGTCTCATATAGGAGTGGCTTTGTACCCAATTTTGCATCCTCGTTGCATATTTCAGGAGCTAGTATGTAATTTCCTGCTTTGTGTTGACCCCAAATGTAAGATGCTCCATACCATGGCGGTGACTTTTGGTGGTTTTGCTTTTTGATCCCCAAGGGCTCCTTTGCTTTTCTTGTTGGGTCCTTTTTGCAAAGTGCTGTATCAGTTGTGTTCTGGATGTGTTGAGTATATTAGCAATATTTGATTGAATTAATCCATAAATAAATCATGAGCATGTCAGTGTTAATCACATAAGCATGTAGTACACAAATAGCAAACATGTCTATGTATAATGTTAGTACAACTAACATGGAAATAAATATGAGCGAGATAAACGGGTTATACCCTTCAGTCGACCAGGACGAAGCCGCGGTGGCGGCGGTCTCCTCGACGACCTTCTTCTTGGAAGTGAGCTTTTCGGCGTCCATGGCCATGTCGATGACGAAAGCGACGAGGACGTAGACGAACAGCGGCTAGTGGTCACATATGAGACGCTCCCTAAAAACCTAATCACCCCTCTCCTGTATATGATCTCAAGGGGCGGGTTCCGAAGGCTTGCTCTCCCGTACAGTTGTGCACAAGGTGAACGGGGTGGGATCGCTGGTGGCAGTAGTAGTGAGCGGAATGGTTTGGGCAGTGTGCGTGGAGGCAGAGTAGATGTGATATGTTCTTTGTGGCGGCTAGGGTTGCTGGTGCCTCCAATATATAGGCGCGGCCGGGTGGAGAGACGTGGGCTGGATCTATGTTCGAGTCAGCAACAACCCACGATCTGATGTCTCAGATTCGTGACTCTTCTGTTAAAAGTTGTCTGGACTCAGCTTGACTCATTCATGGCGTGCGGGGCGAGGTAGGTGGTGGAGGAGGACCGCGTGGAAACCACTTCTCTTCTCAAACTTCAATAACATTTATTTTTTTGTGATGAACTCCAATAACATTTATTTTTTTGCGATGAACTCCAATAACATTTTGAAAAAGGATTCATTATGAAGGGGTCCAACTCTTCCTTCACTATTGGGGTGATACTAAACTTCCCAGCATATACCTTGTCATGATATGGGTCCTTATAGATTTTTTAAAATTGTTGGATGGGCCTAAAGCATACCTATATTTCAACAGGATGTCGTAGATCGTGGCTACGTGTGGGTTTGTAATTTTTGCTTAAGAATGAATGCACACGGTTTACAAAAAAAAAGAAAAAAAATGTGGGTTTGTAATTTTGCTTAAGAATGAATGCACACGCTTTACAAAAAAAAAAGTATATCGGTCCAGAATTCCTTTGTTCAAAAGAATGCTACGCGTAGCAGGAGCTGCCTACCGTCCCCGCGGATATTCTCAGATCAGTCTTATAGCTAATTGTTTGGAAATTAACATGAAGCACCAGTGGTCTAGTGGTAGAATAGTACCCTGCCACGGTACAGACCCGGGTTCGATTCCCGGCTGGTGCATTTTTTTTTTTTGGTATCGACCACGTCCACGTTGGAGCGCAGAGAAAAAACAGTCGCCCGTCGGATCAGCCTCAACAAGTCGATCCGTGCAGCGGCGGTGTGCCGACCCAAGCCGCAGTCAGACGATTTCTATCACGAACTCGGCATGAACCATTTACCGTCCGCACTAGCACTCTCCATCTCACATCAGCCGAAATCCCCGGCCCACACAATCGTTGTGAATCTCACCACTCCCACAGGGAACTAACAAGTGCCAGTTACTACTGATCATCAGTATCAGTACATTAACAGTCGGCGTGCAAGGCACACTCCATTCGGCAGCGAGCGCAAATGGCCACCATGGGCGCCTTCCGGACCTTCCTCCTCTCCTACCCGGAGATCCTCCTGGCCGCGCTCTGCTTCCTCTCCCTGGCCGCCCTCCGCCTCGCTCTGCGGTGCCGCGGCAGCAGCGTGCCGCTGCGATGGCCGGTCGTCGGCATGCTCCCGTTCGTGCTCAGCAACCTCGGCCACCTCCTGGACGCCGCCACCGCCGCGCTCAGGGACTCGGGATGCATGTTCGTGTTCCGCGGGCCGTGGCTCGTCGGCGGCGACTTCCTCGTCACGTGCGACCCGGCCGCCGTGCACCACTGCCTCGCGGCCAACTTCGACTGCTACGACAAGGGCCACGACTTCGCCGAGATGTTCGACGTCGCCGGCAACGGGCTGCTAAATGCGGACGCCGTGTCCTGGGCGCGGCAGCGGCAGGTCGTCGCCACCGTCTTCGCCGCCCCCGTGTTCCGCTCCTTTCTCATATCCACCGTCGCGCGGCAGACGGCGCGGCTCCTGGTGCCGTTCCTGGACCACGCCGCCGAAGCCGGACGCGCCGTCGAGCTCGAGGACGTGTTCATGCGCTTCTCGCTGGACGTCTCCTACGCCGTGGTGTTCGCCGCCGACCTCGACTCGCTGTCCGACTCCGCGGCCGACGCCCCGTACCCGCCCTTCGGCCAGGCGACCAGGATCGCCGGGGAGGCCGTCATGTTCCGGCACGTCGTGCCGGCTCGCTGGTGGAAGCTGCTGAGGTGGCTCAACGTCGGCATCGAGAGGAGGTTCGCCGAGGCCAAGGCGGTGCTCGACGAGTTCGTCTACCTCGAGATCGCGAAACGCAAGGCAGAACCGCTCCCCCGAGGAGAAGGACAAGGCGGCGACCTGCTGTCCATGTACATGGCGTGGCCCAGGGACCCCGCCATGACCGACCGGCAGAGGGACGGGTTCCTCCGCGACGCCGCCGTCGGCTACATGATCGCGGCCAAGGACCTCGTCGCGTCCGCGCTCACCTGGCTCTTCTACATGCTCTGCACGCACCCGCACGTGGAGGACAAGGTCCTCGCCAAGCTCGAGTCGCTGCGCGCCAACGCCGCGTGCTGCGGCGGCAAAGCGGTCGTGTTCGACTCCGACACGCTCCGGTCGGCGACCTACCTCCACGCGGCGGTGCTGGAGGCACTGCGCTTGCACCCGCCCGCGCCGTTCGAGGAGAAGGAGGCGCGCGCCGACGACGTGCTGCCGGACGGCACGAGGGTGACCAAGGGCACCAGGATCCTCTTCTGCATCTACGCCATGGGCAGAGTGGAGGGGATATGGGGCGACGACTGCCGGGAGTACCGGCCGGAGCGGTGGCTGTCCGGCAGCGGCCGGGTCCGGCACCAGCCGAGCTACAAGTTCGCAGCCTTCAACTGCGGGCCCAGGAGTTCCCTGGGCAAGGACCTGGGGCTCACCAACCTCAAGATCGCCGCCGCAGCCATCATATATAACTTCCGGGTGGAGCTCGTCGACGGCCATGTGGTGGAGCCCAGCGATTCGGTGGTGCTCCACACCAAGAACGGCCTCATGGTTAAGGTCAAGAGAAGGGAGGCGGCTTGATGAAGATGAATGAATTCAGGCTTTTCGTTGCATATTCTGATATTCATATACACATGTCATACAAATACTTATGACAGTGTCATCTATGTTTGTCGATCTGGATTTATCATAATTTCAAATGGTATTGTAAAAACCTAATATTGAAAACTACAATATATTAACCTATTGGTGCAAGATACTGCAGTTTTTATATATCAAAGTATTTTGAAGTATCAACAATACAGAAGACCTGTTTGGCTAGCATTGTGCGTAACTTAACGTAGAAATTGCTGGCTAGTTGTTAACTGTTGAAGACATGCACCTTCTTGAAGCTAAAATTGATGATGGAGGCTAGATTTTATTCAATCATACAGTATGCATTACATGTATATAGTTTGGTTTTTATATATCAGACATCAATACATAAAAACACTATTTCAGTAATCAGCAATACTATATACATAGTTCACATAGACAGCATGATATAAGTAAAACATAATATATTTCGGTGGTAGCTGATATATTACTCAGCTCGCGCATAATAATCTTCTGATTGCGCCTGAAAGAATAAATTCCAATTGGTTGCCAGTACAAAAAATGTTATGCAACAGGTTCATCTGCCAGCACAAAATTGTACAGTAATGTACACTCGAGCAAATGACGGACATGCTATCACGCGAAGGGCAATCCTTCGATTTCTCCCGGGGATTTAAGCAATTGATTAACAAAGGAACCTAAAGAGTATTTCTGTCAAGTACTTCATTCCTCAAGGATATGCATTGAATATCTTGCAGCTAGCTACTGTACATTCTTCAGTCAGCTACCACAGCTATTCAAGAATCGTTTGTGTGCACACATTACCAGTAAAACAGAAAGGATAATGATAGTCGCTGCTGTAAACATGATTGCCTGCACACACCAAACCAGAGGAAACATAAGAAAGAAAACTCAATTGCTAACAGTGTACAAGAAAACAAATGAAAAAACTGGAGAAGCACATTGATGAGTTTGTATATTAGATTTACAATGCCCGTACATAACAAGGAAGTAAAGAAGGCCATGCAGGCAATTCAACCATGAATTATGATAATGTGCACCGATGAATGATTGACTAACTTGTTAAACAGGCAAAAAGAATTATTGCTTTTGTATGTCATATACTAAATCTAACAGGACATGATATGCTCCACACGTGTATGACGAATAAAAACTAACCAGAAGAGCAGAAGCGGCAAGCCCAGGCCGTTCTCGAGGATCACGGTTGTAGTACTTGCAGCAATAAAGAAGAGCTGCTATGTACCAAATTAACGGGCACAGGAAACCTAAAAGAAAACTGCAATAATTTTAATACAGTAAACAATAACTGAATGAAAGAATGAAGGAGTAGACTGCCTCACCAACACCATCCAATTCCACAACCAAAGAAGGGAAGGCGTCTTTCGAACATTGCCAACCTTGGATTTTCTTCATCGCCAAGTAGTGTGTACTTGCCGAGGCACACTTGGCAACTGCAATATTCGTTTGAGCTTCCTATGGAACACAAAACAGTGAATTTAGTTAAACTAAGATAAATACTTCTCCAAGAGATATGTACTTATAAACACTCTTGACGTTTTAAAAAAAACTTATAAACATTCTTCATTATATATGTCTTTTACAGATCAACGATCATGCTTTTAATAAGATGAGAGTGTTTTGCAACCAATATCTGACAGGCATCTCACACAAAGTAAGTGCATAAGCAGATTCAGTACCTCCCCTCATAATACTACAGTTGTTTGGTCAAGGAACCAGCAGGAAGAAACATGGAGCTTTTCAGCATTTCAGGACTCCTTGCTGTAATGGCTAATGTAAACTATGATCTAAGAGCTATCATCACATCAAGCAGCTGCACAAACGAAATGTGAGTAATTAGCACAAACATTAAGCAGGTGCACAGAAACATGAGAAAATGGCAGGAAAATCATGTGGCATCTAATCTAGTTATGTAGAATAAAGTGTATTCTATACAAATAGCAGTTTTAGATAGTGCACTACAGAGATGATGATTCTGTACAAATGTTGCAATTCAGAAATATATCGAGTGCAATTGAACTAGCTATTCATTCATTACATAAATGCGATGAGCAATTCCCACAACGAATGGGAAGTACACAGCTCACTGACGCAACAATTCTTTTCAGACCATTTTCATCAAGAAAATATAGCTGGGTAGAACTGTATCCAAATGATATAGGCTTGTGCGGTTCACAGCCTTGGAGTGATTAAGTTTGTCAAACATTTTTGCCTAACTTGTCTCAGAGAAAAACAAGACACGTCACAAGTGAGTTTCTGAGATTGCCTAAGCTAATCTTGACAACTCAACAAACCTTTGGGCACGCATAAACTGTGGCAATGAACCAAATTTTACTGACTTGATCAAACTTGCCTAAGAGAATTGTGACAAACTCAAAGTTTGCGCCTCATGGACAACAGCTTTGACTTTTCCTGTAGATGATGATAGTTTTAGTGCTACTATTGGAAGCACTTTCATATGAAGTGGGTTCAACTGAAAGAAGCAGAGGGGGGAGGGGGGCTTAGATGGTGTACTGGCACACACACTCATAAATTGTCAAGGCCAATGTGGTTTTACTAAAGAACTTGATGGAAACAAGCTCACACCTCAAAACCCAACGGGAAAGATTGTGGACGAGGCGGAGGCAACAGGAACGCGGTGCATGGCAAATTTTAAACCTCATGGAGATCCACTTTGACTTGTCCCTGATAAGCCGACAGACTAATTTTTACCCTGAGGCCTGTAGGTGACAGCTAAGGTGCTAATATTAGAAACACTTTCATCTGAACTGGATTCAACTAGAGAAAAATGCAGTGTCAGGAGGAAGGTCTTGTGTCCTGCATTGCGCATTACACCAAATAGGGGTTGAACTGTTGAAGCAAGCCAAGGAAAGCTCTTTGAACACAAAGATCCGGAAATCCAACACACAGCTTGAGTCTGTAATACCATCGAACGGGTTGTGTTCCTCCCACAGCCACAGGGTCAACGCCCTGCTTGAAATCGCCGACGAGCGATGTCAAGATCCGGTCCTAGTACATTCCAGAAATTCCACAAGCTACCACATTATGATCCGACATAGTACGTATAATCAGGGTACCAAGCAAGAAACCAAGAACCGAGCTGAGATCTGCAGAAGCAGGATACGCACACCTCGGCAAGGGGGGCGTCAAACAGCGAAACGGAAGCTGCAAACTTACATGACCGAATCTAATCTCCTGCGAGGAAAGTCCATGTAATTCTGCGGCGGATGTGCCTTTCAGCTTCCGCGGGTGGTCCTTTGCTGAGATGCGAAAAATTGGTAGAAGGAGGAGGGCGGAGAAGGCGTGGGCGTGAGCGGCTTCTGCCTTTTGGTATCCGTCCCGTTTGGGTGATTGCTTGCCCTTTCCAAGTGGCTCTCCCCCTCCTTTTCTTGATATTCCCGAGTGGATTTTGGCTGCTATTGCAGATGTGACACGTTGGATACTTGCTGGTATAGGCTCCGGAGGGCCAAAGAAGTGGTGTTCGCTACCTACCCCTCTCTCGGTCTAATTGATACTCCCTCCATTTCAAAATAGATGACTCAACTTTGTACTAATCATTTATTTTGAAATAGAGGGAGTAGAATTTGACTCCTAAAAATATCTACAGCCAGACTTTACAAATCCGGCTCCTCATGTCGTGCAATTCTGACAGTAAGAAGAGGGGGTACATAGGAGAAGGCAAGGCCCTAGCTACAACGAGGTTGTGCACGCAAGATTTACGAGTTCAGACCCTTTTCGGAGGAAGTAATAGCCCTACGTCTCGGTGCCCAGAGGCTTTGTCGACTGGATTATGCGTGAGAGTTATAGGGGGTGCGAACCCTTGTGCCAGAGGAGAGGAGTGGCTTATATAAAGTGCGTCAGACCCCTCCAGCCCTCAGTTACATAGGATTCAATGTACGTTAAGGCAGGGGTGTTACTGGCAACACTAGCTATTGATGACTATAAATGATCTTTAAGACTACGAAGTGAACGCCTGACCGTTGCCATTCTGGGGTGACTTTAGACCTTTTGTACTTCGAGTGATTCTTCATGTGGTCGAGTGACTCTATCTTGGTTGAGTGGAATTGGGGTATCCGAATGGGATAGCTGGTCGAGTGGCTTGCACTTTAACTTGGTTTCAGTCGGTATCTTCTGTTGTACTTCAAAGGACTTTGACTTTAGGGCAGTGTCCTTGGGTAGGGAGTCTAGGTCAGGCCTATAACCCTACCCTAAGTACATGGCATCGTCATTAGCCCCCGAATGGATTGAGGTTCGAGTGAAGTAAGGTTGGAGTTGTTTCTGATTCGATTCTATGCTTCGGAGGCATATCATCGGAGCCTGGAAATCGTACTAGAACTTTAACCTTGCATCAGTCGCCTTGATCGATTTTGTGGTCGTCGAGTGAATTACGTCGTGAATCTTCGAGTGAATTAGAGCGTGAAATCTTTGACGTGATTGGTTGCTCTGCTGTTCCCGGATCTCACGGGATTCGAAATTTTAGAAAATTGTGCGGGACAGAGCGTGGCGTCGTAAGCAAAACAGATAGACAGAGGCTCCTTGATTTCCGTGCCATTTTTTCGCCACGTATAGGGCGAGCGTCTGCTGCGGGATGCGATAAGATCGTCTGGGCCCACCGGTCAACCACTCGGAAGCAGCACCATAAAGAGCGCTCGGGCCGATGCAATGCACAATGCACCTCATTCGGTCCTCTTCTCCCCTGCCTCTCCACCGCGCATCTCTCTGCTCTCGTCGCCTCCGCCCAGTCCGCGATCACTTCGTCGCCATGGAGCACGCGAAGAAGGTATCGACGACGGCGAAAGGCAAGAAGACGGCTCGGGGGTCGTCGTCGCGGTCCGGTCTGCCACCTGGTTGGATCCATGGGGACTGGATCCGCTCCACCGTCGTGTAGGAAGACTTGGAGAGGCTCGCCGAGGATGGTATGATTGCTGAAAATCTTGGAGGTTGCCGGAGGGGGAATCCGAGCCCCAGCCGCGCGAGGGTGAGCGTGTCCTCCTCACCACCCATGTCGATCGAGGTTTTTATCTTCCTCAGCATCCGTTCTTTTGGGGTTTCTTGAACCTTTTCAGTGCCCAGATTCACCATTTCCCCCCAACACAATCACATACCTTGCTGCGTACATCTCTTTGTGCGAAAACTTTCTGGGTTGCCAACCACACCGGGGTCTCTTCAAACACATCTACACTTGCCGTTCCCAAACGGTGAAGAAAGCAAATCCGACTAACGAAAAGACGCACGTGATCCAGATGTGCGAGGCTTTAGGGATTCAAACTAGGGGTAGAAGCGTTTTTCCTTCCATGACCCTTCCAGAGTCAGTCCGAGGATGGCAGTCGACCTGGTTCTTTCTTGGCTACGTTGTAGAGGTGATATGCCCCATTGTGGAACACCTTCGTGATGATGAAGGGCCCTTCCCAGGCCGGAGCAAGCTTGTGAGGCCATTTCTGGTGCACTCGGAGCACAAGGTCTCCTTCCTAAAATGCTCAGCCCCTGACATTTCGGACATGGAATCGACGCAGGTCTTGTTGATAAATGGTCGATCGGATCAGAGCCATCTCTCGCTCCTCTTCTAAGAGGTCAAATGCGTCCTGATACGTCTCCAATGTATTTATAATTTTTTATTGTTCCATGTTGTTTTATTATCAATCTTGGATGTTTTATAATCATTTTATATCCATTTTTGGTTCTAACCTATTAACATAGTGCCCAATGCCGGTTCATGTTTTTTCCATGTTTTTTACATCGCAGGAAATCAATATCAAATGGAGTCCAAATGGCACGAAACTTTACGATGATTTTTATGGGCCAAAAGGAAGCAGATGGGCCCTGGTTGCACCTGGGGGGTGCCCCGAGGGGGGCACAACCCACCAGGGCGCGCCAGGAGGCCCTGGCGCGCCCCGGTGGGTTGTGCCCACCTCGGGTGCCCCCGGACCGCCTCTTTGCTCTATAAATACCCAAATATTCCCAAAACCCCAGGGGGGTCGATGAAATATTCATCCAGTCGCTGCAGAGTCCAGAATCACTAGATCAGATCTAAACACCATCACGGAGGGGTTCACCACTTCCATTTGTGCCTCTCCGATGATGCGTGAGTAGTTCTTTGTAGACCTTCGGGTCCGTAGTTAGTAGCTAGATGGATTCATCTCTCTCTCTCTTGATCCTCAATACAATGGTCTCTTGGAGATCCATATGATGTAACTCTTTTGCGGTGTGTTTGTTGGGATCAATGAACTTCGAGTTTATGATCAGATCTATGTTTTTATATCAATGAAAGTATTTGAGTTTCTTTGATCTCTTTTATGTGTGATCTCTTATAGCCTCATATTTCTTCTCCGATATTTGGATTTTGTCTAGCCAACTTGATCTATTTATCTTGCAATGGGAAGAGGTGCCCGGTAGTGGGTTCGATCTTACGGTGCTTGATCCCCGTGACAGAAAGGGAACCGACACGTATGTATCGTTGCTACTAAGGATAAAAAGACGAGATCTATATCTACAGCCATATAGATAAACAGATCTTTTCTACATCATGTCATCGTTCTTATTGCACTACTCCGTTTTTCCATGAACTTAATACACTAGATGCATGTTGGATAGCGGTCGATGTGTGGAGTAATAGTAGTAGATGCAGGCAGGAGTCGGTCTACTAATCTTGGACGTGATGCCTATGTAATGATCATTGCCTGGATATCGTC